AGGAAAGCCGAGTCGAACGAGCGGATGGAAAAGTCCGGGGCGTCGCACCCTTGGCCAACGTCGGGGAGTTATGCGCCAGGCGCATAGCGCGCGCGCGTACGAGCGGTTCGCGCGCTTTCCAGCGGCTCCGACATCTGCACCATCCAGGTGAACCTCTTGTGCGCCCGGTGCGCTTTCATTGGCTTTCCAGGCCCCGACCGGCACGCGTCCTACCCCCACTCGATAATTTATGAGATATATTTTAGTGCTCCCTTAGCATATAAAGGCTAATACTACGCCCCTCCGCCCCTCCGCCCCACCGCCCCACCGTCCCTATGCCCCACGTCACGACTCCACAGGCCCCCGACTCCCGCCAAGCCCATCGGCTAGCCCCGTACTATTAGACCAACACAACGCTTGAAAATCCGAAAGTCCCGCCATTTTCGAACGTCTTCTTTATATCCTTTATTCATTGGGATTGATGATGTGGTCGAATGCACTCTCAGGCTCTAGCACGGCCAATTCAGTCGAAAGATTTTTTAAAGCGTCGCATCCATCGCGTGCTTATCGCTCCAAACGCGGCCTCTCGACTTTTGTGCCCGAAGCTCGAGTCTTGATAATCTCGGATTGTTGGAGCTCCTCCGGGCATTTTACGGGACTGGCGTCTTCCTCGGCTTGGGCGATCAATTAATAATCAACGTTCATTCATCTCGATACTCGTGTGTACGATTATGCTTTAACAATACATGCAATGACTGAATTAAGTATGGCTCGCTCGATACTTGCCGAGGTTATGTGAACATTATTATGATGAATTAATGTGACGATTAATTGCCAAGTTAAAGGGTTTTGTAGGCAGTGCGCGTGGTGACAAGCTACCACAGCTACACCAATACCAATGATCCAACAATGCGCGGAATCCGAGAAGGATTTTAATCTGAAAAAAAAAAAAAAAAAATAAAAAAAAAATAAAAAAAAAATAAAAAAAATAACCATATTTTAATCAAAGTTGTTTCAGCATAAAATTTCAGCAACTTTGATTTGTCATTAAAATCTTCCTCGTCTCTTCTTTCATTTTCTCTTCCCAACCTCAATGCAACTAACTGTCTAGAAATTCATAATCTTCGAGCGATTTAACCAACAGCAATAAAATCAATAAACAATGTCAATCAACGAGCCTTCATTTCAATATATCGAATTTATCGCATACGTCGTACGTATATTGTACAGGCGTAAGTGGCCCTGTAATGGTATGCTGTTGGTACAGCGAGGGGGTGGCGAATTGGAATGGGAAGAGGGGTGGCAGAGAGCAGTGGCGTATAACGTCTTTTCTACAATCAGCCTCGTCGACATTTTACTCGCTTGTGTCCAGTCTAGGAAATGGAGGGATCGAAGCTCCGTGAATGCAACGAGGAGAATATCTTCAATAATATGAACAGATGTCACGGCGAGAGTGACAATGATAAGAAAATCCCGGGTAACGCGAGTCCGAGCGTCCAAACTTCGTAACACATTGGAAAAAGCTGAGTATGCCGGTTACGCGCTTCCTCCAGCCTCAGCTGCCTGGCGCACATACTTGTCGCAGCGGTTTCGTCGGACCAGAGAACAATCATGGAACAACTGCCTCCACGAGGGCGGGCACATTCGAGTAAATTTGAAGAGCCGTCGAGGAATTTACATCTTTGCGACTTTACATCGACTGTTGGAAAATCTCGATTGACCAAGACGTCGCGATCAGCAGGCAAATAAATACAAATACTTCCGACTTAAATTTCTACTTGATTTCCACTACATTTCGAATCGTAAACGTATTGACGGATAAATACGTGTCGCTCGAATCAATCGTCCCAGTAAATTCATTAATCATAATTAATGATAACACTGTACGCCATTTGCAGTCAATTGTTGCAATAGGATGGAAGAAGATGATGTTAGGTACGTTGGAAGAGAATGTAGACGTTGCTATGTATGGCCCTGGTTATCGCAGCGTAGTTTATCAAATTTATCATTAATGATCTAATAAAGTATTTTGCTAGCCGACAAGCGTCGTCGCGTCATTTGGCACATAATCGTCAAACACGTGCAAATTCTTAATTTTCCTTCGCTCAAACGCTATATTATGATAATTAAATGACGCGTTTAGATGGTTTAACTGGCAGGGATAAATACGAGAGTGGATGAGCGCGCGGAGCGGAGTTATCGTGGAAATACTGGGATATCAAAGGTGTTTGAACGAGGCGCAATAAAGGTGACTGGATATTAATAAATCCAAGGACAATGGTTGGCAATTGAGTAAATTGCTCGTACAATTTGTCGATTTAATCCAAAAGAAATGCCATTTAGTGTAGGAGATGACGTGCCCGCGATAGAGCGTTTCATCTCCCAAAACCTACCGTATTATAAGATATTGTTTCTCCCTTTTTCTCCTACTATCTTCACAACAAAGACTTGACAATTTAATGTTTTATTTTGCCAATTGAAAGCGGCTTTATCGAACTGATCGTAAAAATAATAAACAGTCGATTCGACGATTATAAGCCTCCTCTATCCTCTCCCCCACCCTTCCCAACCACCACCACCGCCACCACCACCACCACCACCAGCACCACCACCACCACCACCAGCACCACCACCACCACCACCAGCACCACCACCACCACCACCAATAAGCCCACGACTCGTAAACTTTAAAATCTCGTACATTATCGTCAAGTATCGCGAATAACATTGACGATAATTTATAACGACAAATGCCTTATATATTTACCATAACGATTTAGCAGATAAATTGTAGAGACGTTAATTGTGCTTAGGAGGCTCATTACGAGTGTCGATTTCGGAAAATCGAAAAAATACGTATCGACGTGCCAAACGAACAAACTCGCGTACGCCGGCAAATTTACGAGAGCCTCCTCCTCCTCCTCCCCCCCACCCCCCCTCTGCTT